TTTGTATTAATTTATGCAGGGTCTGTCATATGAAACATTCTACCACTATATTTGTATGCCTCTGTGCCAACAATAGCCGTGGCTGGAGATGTTATGTTTTAAATTCTCCTTCACATTTTCCCACTGCTTGTAATAAATGTTAATATAGTATTTCAAAATCAATTAAAAAAAACCTTTTCAACTGAATGTAGTTTAGTTTCAGCACAGGGATAGAAGCTACGTAGCATACCTCCTTCACAAAGCACTTTGAGATCCACAGTGTGGAGGTCAGACAAAAGCTGTATGTCAGTGCTGGACCACAACTCGTTTAAAACTAGGGGGGCACGTGCCAACTGTGAAGAACCTTGACATGTCTGATTTCATTGTCATTGTAAATGTGTTCAGCTCTGCTTGGCCACTGCAGTAATGACAGCAGCACTTAAAAGAACAACACATATGTTAAATCAGCCTCTCCTCTTTGTCTAACAGGAACTACACAAACACACATCATGTTCTTATCTAAGCCTATGTTCCACTAATGCTGCAGTACTTTGCTTTACTATTTAAATGCTGTTAAATTCAAAATATTCATTTTAAAGCCCTGATGCATAGTTTAAAAATAAATCCCCCACCATAGCTTCAAAACCTTCAATGTGGTGACGTGTCCTGCTACAACCCCTCGTATACTGTAGATCTTATACCAGGGAGATAAATGAAACACATACTGTACTGTACCAACTTTGTCTCATTTTCCTACAAACAAAATCTTTTCCATCAGAAATCATTTGAAAATGGCTAGAACCACTTAAGTCTATACATAACAGTTTTAAAAATGTTAACTCTTCACTGTAAAATGAGAGAATATTGTAATGTATCCATTCATTCTCAGCTGACATCGACTCTGCACAGAGTATCACTGCTGCTCTGCTCAAAGTCAAGTTGAGAAGCTGACTGTTCTCTGTCCACGATGAAGGCTGTTCTGTTTCTGATGTTGTACAAACAGCTGTGCACCCAAGTGCTTCAGACAGGATTACCTCCTACGCAAACGCTGCTCTGTTCGGTTCAGCTCAAATCATTCAGTGTGACAGATTCAGCATGATTTGTTTAGTCCATATAATAACTGGTACAGGATGACTGTTTACAGAGCGGGTACAGGAGAGGGTCACTTCACATTTTGTTGCTGCTGTGCAAGCTGCCAGGAGGGGCCCGTCATGTCCTCTGGCAGACCATGTGGTCAGCAGGACAGAGGCGCTGGCAGACAAGCACATGGTGTCATCACCCCAAACAACAGCATGCCTCAGTTGTCCACAGCTCTGACTCAGTCCACGTGGATGACTCTTGTTGACTACACCTGTGAAAGCAGAGCCAGTCTGCAAAGAAAACGCCTGACACAGGACCTGGCTCCATGGTGACAGTCAACGTTTCTAGTTTTCCTATGGGACAGCTGTTGCACAGAGCTTGAAAACTTAAAACATTCCCCATCAGTGAGCATTTTCACCTTCATCTAATTTGTGCAAAGAGGTAAAAAATGCTGTTTGTCATATTGGGAGACTGTGTTGCAGCCTTCAGGTTTTTGTAAAAAATGCTGTTTGTCATATTGGGACATGTTGCAGCCTTCAAGTTTTATTATGTTAGCTGCTGTTTTTGTTGCACTGCTCAAACTATTAAAGCAGGACTCTATTAAGGCTTTTCTTGCACTTTCTGCCAATGATGTTTGAGGGTTTTTTTCAGTGTATCTACTCTCCCATGGCATTTATAGCTGCTCATGCTAACTACCCAGTTTTTAGTCTTTTGCTGATGAAAGCATCGAACACATTTCTGTCTTTATTTGGAAAGATTTTTTCCGTGAACATGTGGGATTAGCTGCAGAACCTCTACTGATGCAGTGTGCTCACAAAGACTGAAATATGCATACGGTATATATTCCTTTTCTCACAATCACAGAACCGTGCATATGCATGGTTTTGTTTCATAAAACTGAGCACATGCGCACAAGCATGGAGATGATGAAATTTTAAATACCGTGCCACACTGGCAAGGTTGTCCAACAGCGTCAGAGCAGCTGTCTTAATGCGAGACCATTACACACCGTCATGTCTTTTTATAGTGCCTGCATCATTAATTAATCACATGTACCTGTAAACAATCAGTGATATCTTGGTGATTGGTGTCATAATCATCACAATCATTACTGTGCTGTTATCACTTCATAACAAAGAATACAGCATGTTTTTTGGTTATACATCTGGACCCAGTGTTTGGGAGAGGAAATAGAAAACCTTCTTCTCAATACTGGACTGTGCACCACTGTATTATATCATAATGTTCGATTCATGTCGTGTCAGGCAGTCGTGTGGATCACTGATTTGTTTTTAATGTGGATACACACAAAATACATGTTAGCGGGATGCTTTCATTGTTGATTTTAGTCTTTTAATGATATTTGTTGACTGTAATAAAGAATATCATGTGTCTAATCACAGCCTTTCTCAATAAATTATGTCATACTTCTCTAATTGATCTCTCATTGCTGAAGTACTGTTTGACACAAAGCTAATCACTGCAGTAATGTAACAGTGAATGAACTGTATGACCAGTCTAGGCTCAGACCAGCTGCTCTGACCTCTGTTCCTATACACAACGTCCATAGCCCAGCATCCTACTGTCACACATCCCCCATTATGTTACACTATTGATCCCTTCCTGTTTGTATTATGCAAGAGTAATCAGGAGTTTGCTTTACATAAGTAGCGTCTGGGATGTGGCTCTCTCTCACTACTATGCCCCCTGCAGACTACAGTTCAATGCTTCCACTGCCCTCTCTGCCACACGCAGGAGTTCAGTAACAAACTTTATGTCTTTAGCTATTTTGCACTTACTTCCTGGAATCTGTCCAGATGCACATGGAGAGGCTCACGAGGCATGTTTGTAACAGTTTTGATTTATGATCATGTCACAAACATCAGATGTTACAGATAGCTGCTCTATCCAGATTGACACACAGCTGTGAAATGCGGATGAGGGCAGAGGAGAAAGGCGACTGGAGAAACGTGATGCTAGACTCAAAGGAGCTCATGGGCAGCATTATTTTGCTCATCTGAATGACAGTCTGCTTTACTCATCTCTCACAGTTAAGTCACAAAGCAGGAAGCAGAAGGTTTAGCAGTAAATTAATTAGGCTCCATCAAACACTTGCTGCCCTGTTTCCCTCTCGGTGTGGTCGGATGGGAACGACAACAAGCTCCCTTCTTCTGTCAGCATATGTCTTCATCTCTTTAATTAGGTGCCTGTGTTGGTACTGAGCATGCAACAAAACCACACCCAAGACAGGAAGGGACCCAGTCTCCCTGGAGTTCACAGACTCCAGTGGTGACCTTTATACTGCACAGTCTGTGTGCTGACTGCTAAGCTGCTTAGTTCTACAGGAATCCTATTTCAGGCACCAATAAAAGCAATGTACTTTTAATAGCAACCAAATATTTATCAAACTGTAGTTTAAAATCTACTGCATGTCACATTCAAACTCATACGATTAATATCCCTGTAATTGTATTGCATCCTCTCATTCTGAACTGAAAAACTGCTGCTGTAGAGATGAATGAAAATGCATTTAAGCTTGGAATGTGATGTTTTATTGCATTGATATTGCCAATTAATGTTGAATATAGAACATAAAATTACATTTAAACGATAAACATTTAAAGTTATATTAAAAAAAAACAGCTAGTAACTATGTCAATATCCTGCATCAATCTGTGAATGACAACCTAAAAACTGAAGCAACATTTTTGGTGTTATATTGTTGTATTGTACAGTATATAAAGTATGCATACATGTATAGACCTTACAGTATATACATTTAGTCTGTAATACTTCTGTACCTTTGCTGAAGTAGTACTATGAATACAGTGCTTTAACTTAAAGTATTTTTACATTGTCATACAACTGCATGTATACTGAGTAACGTTTTATTGTCTATGCACTGTGTTACTGTGTAAGCAATCGTAATTGAGTTTGAGAATGACAGAAGCATAAATGTGAATGACCCAGTGCAGGAAACCATCTGTGATGCTCCATGGATGATGACAGACAGAGCTTGTTTCACTTCTTACAATTAAATGACTGATTTGACAGTGACTCCCGGACGTCTCTACGCCACTCGCTGCTGATAAATCACAAGCATCTGCTAGGTTCATCGTCCTGTTCATCGTCTGTGGGTGCATTAGGTTCACAGGCAGACTCTTCTGTAAACATCAGCACAATATCTTCCCCTGATGCCCCCTAGTGATGACAACTGTGCTAAGCCTAGTTTGGTCCTGAGCAGAGAGAAAGGCATTAGTTTGAACAAGGTGCTGGAATTACAAACGTTCCTCAGTTTTAAGTAGATGTGTTTTTCAAATGAACAGTGGTGATTCAGTAATATCAGTACACCATTACAAATTAGAAATAAATGAGTTGTGCTGTTTTATTTATTTATCCACAATAAGCACTCCATTTTAACTTTATATGCTAATTATTTACAATTTAATTTAAATAACCTAATGCCTAATGCCTAATGCCATTTATTTTTAACTACAACCTATCTACGGTGAACAAACTGTAAACACTGCACTTCATGCTGGATTGCTATATATTATTATTACATAGCCATATTGGCACAGCGACACGGTGGTTAGCGCTGTTGCCTCAGAAAAAGAAGGTTCTGGGTTTGAGTCCTGGTTGATCCACTGCATTTCTGTTCGGAGTTTGCACAGAAGGGCATAGCGCTTCGATTGACTGGCAACTCTTAATTAGACATTATCCCAAAGAGCATCTGGTAAAACATGCCAAGTTTAATGTGCACATCATCAGGTCGGTGGGAACTGATGATTCACTGTGATAACCCCTAACAGGTACAGCCGAAAGAAGAAGGTGATTATAACAGAACCCTTTTTTATAAACTAAAAACTTATTTATTTATCCATCCATCCATCTGTTACCTATAGTGTTTATCCTGAAGACGGTTGAGGGGGGAAGGGGGGAGGGGGGTCAATCCCAGCTAACACTGGGCGAGAGGCAGGGCACACCCTGGACAGGTCGCCAGTCTGACACAACTTTTACATTGGCTTTTAGTGCTCTGACACTTTTTGGTTTGATTTGCTTTAACTCCCAACTTGTTTAGAAACTTCCAAACAACTATCTAACTTTATTAGCTTTATTTTTTGTAAAGTGCTGGTTTTTGTTGGTGTTTTTAGATTTCAACTCCTTCTTTTAACTAACTCTTTTTACACTTATTTTATTTTACAATGGTATTTGCTTAAAGCACTTTGGTCAACCCCCGGCTGTTTTTATAGAGCATTATAAATAAACATTGTTATTATTTGATTTATATCATCAAACTTTTTAAAAACCTGCCCAATTCAATGAGTAGACAGACACTAAAACACATTTTAGTTATAACTCCCTGTATTTTGTAGTTTACTCAAGTCTGAAGGAACAATTTTGAAATATTTTCCTTAGCATTTCCATGTTATTCTGCTTTATACTTAAATTCTGCTAAATTTCAGAGGGAAATATTATCATTTTTAGCCCACTATGTTTATCTGACAGCTGTAGTTAGTTTGTGACACCCACACAGGTGCTTTAAACCACTATGGCTGCTCACACCTGAGTCTGGTGTAAGATGGGTGGAGCCCCAAAAGGTGCAACAACATCAACAAAAGGCCGATGGAGAAGTCAATCAGAAACAGCACTAATTAGGCAACAATAAGTGAAAACACCTGTGCTGGTGGGTCAGTAAAAGTTTATGTAAAACTGTATGATATATTTTTTAAATATGATGTATTAGACAATATAACAAACAATATAATAAGTGATAAGGATATAATGAACAACAGATAACGCAGAGCAGCATAAAAATGCCACCTGTATCAAGTTGAGGTACTTGAATATACCTCTCACAGGTATAAGCAGTGATGTTGAACAGTAAAACCATCAAGCATTATCATGGTACATCTCACAACAAAGAGAGCGGGTCCTAAAGCTACAGTTGGCGATCTTGGAAAAACCAGCAAGAGGAAGCTCAATTTGAAAGTAGCCAACCAAAGAAATCCCACCCTTTCGTTCTGGCTTCTCGCCAAAGCCACTCCTCCACTCCTGTTTTACTGTCCACCAACAAAACTTGAAGTTCATCAGTTTCAGTGAGGAAGGCAGCCGCCATGCTTCAGGATTAGGTTACTATACTTGGGAGTTGTGTCCACACAGAGGAGTGTTCCCTACCCCCACCACTCTGAGCACTGCATGAGCCCAGCGGCACGTCGTGCCACTGTATTATTCACTTATAAACGAATCCTGATTTGAATGTTAATCCTATCAAAGTCACCATAAAAACAGCCCATTGCCTTTTACATAACACTACAAATATGATTATGTTCTGTGTTGCATTCCTTCTCTGCCTTCAGGAAAATCCTGCTCCACACTCCAAAACTCAGAGCGCTTGACTCAGAAAAGCAACATCCAAGGGAAGCAGAAGAACAGCAGTCAAAAAGAATTCTGTTGTGAATCTTATGCCACAGTAAACAGTCACCCCTTATAACAGGGACACAATAAAATCCAAGTACAATGCACTGATGTGTGCTAACTGTTAACCTGGATTAACATAATGCAATATATTTCCACAACACAACAGAATACAGTCTCCAAATTTACCACAACTCGTTTCTTCTAATCTCAACCAAAACTGAACCAGTTAGTAAGGGTGGGATTAACAACAGGTTTGTTATAATCATCTGAAATCACTTTAGCCAACACAGTGTACTGAGGCAGTTGTTAGTGAACAGCTTTTCCCCAGACTCAGAACAGGCTTTGGGCCAACATAAATGTGTATGATGTAAATTAATTACTGATAGTGGCCTGATAGTAAATATTGTCAAAGTGAAATACAGTAGGTTCTACACAGATCAGAGTTTTAAAGGGAGAAAAAGAAAAATCACATGAATTCCAGAAGGCATAAAGGTATAGTTTAAAGCTATAAACTAATTTGACCCTGTTAACTCTGACTGGGGGTATTGTTGAGTGACTGACACTTCCTATGAGGAGGAGGCAGAGTCTGACTCGGGGAAACCCTCCCTCATATCTCTGGCAGTTCAGAAGCTCCTCAGGGGCAAGGCTTAACAAAAAAGCTATGATAATTGTTACTGCACACTGACTGCTAGTATGAAATGACAGACAGAAACGTTTGCAACCAGCTAGTGAACATAGTGGAGCACTTAGCAGCTACAAAGGCAGGTATTTCCCTGAGGGTTTGGTGAAGACCTAAACAGCGGTCAAAGGGAGTAAATATCCAGAAGCAGAGAACCAGGAACATAGCTCCTAGTGCTAATGATGCTCCATGTCTGCTACATGTCTAAATATGCAACTGTAAGCTAACATATTCAACCAATCAACTTTGTGGTAACAGTGCTGTGTTTACCGCTGGCTTTCTGTCTGAGACTGAGATGAGGAGGCTGATACTTACAGTATCTTGTCTGTGGAGACCATGGTTAGCTAAGTTTGTAATAAAGGCAGGAAACAGGTAAAAAGCTAACTGTGCTCTAATTTGTTTTGTAGAGAGAACAAACTTTCATTTAACAACAGCTAGTGGCAGCAGATGTGTACAACTTCCAAATTCTAGAGCTGCCCCTGAATGTTGATTCATATCACGAGTCCCTCAGTTTCAAACTGAGTCACTGTCACAGAGCAACAGTTTGGCAACCTATAAAGTTTTATGAACTGAGTCATGTTTCAAAAAAACTGCAAAGCTTTGATAAAAACTCAAAGCAGCACAGCTTGTTTCTGTTTGCCGCTCCAATCACCTCAGCCCCAGAGCTGAATGTGAGTGACGTCAGCTGAACTACTTTTGACAGAGGCCTTCAGCTGACAGCACCATCAGCAGCAGGACAGATGTGCTATGGTAGATTTTCTAACTGAACTATGACCAGCATGCACATTTTTTATTTCTCTGTGTGGAAATGTGATGTACTGGAACTGGGCAGGGACTGTAATAACAGCCCTACCAGCGCCATGTTCATTCCCATCCTCCCGACGAATCAGGTTTGGTCTCATCATGCCTGTATAAAGAACAAACTACACTTAAACAACAAATGAGCATCTACAGTAAAAGTGTGATATGTTTCAGGACAGAGTATTTGGTAGTGGATGGCAGAAGAGAAGCAGACAAGCAGCCAAAGTGTGAGTGATGAAACAGACATACATGAGGAGGATGGGGGAGTTGATGGGGGATGAGCTGGGTCCACACAGAGCGACTCACTTGGCCAGCTTCATCTCGATTTGCTGGCGGATTTCCTGCCGCTCCTGGTCGCTCCGCACTGGGAAGATGTTGCGGTCCTCCAGCTCCTGCTTACTGGGTCTGTTCCGAAGCTTCACAGCCAGCAGCTCCTTCTTCATCCTGCGTGGGAGGGTCCCTGTTGTTGCACAAATTGAGGTCAACAATGACATAGTGGTTTATGTGTTGCCACACTAAAACCCACTGGTGTTAATGTCTACACAGTGTGTAGTGAGTAATTAAAGTGAGCAGGTTTATATCAACATAGAAAAAAAACTGTGTGGGAGATATAAAACATTTAACACAGTGTTTAGAGGTTCAAAATAAATTGGATAGAGACACATGAAACCAAACAAAGTCATCATATTTAACATTTTGTGGAAATACTTGTGTCAACAGCTGCCTGAAATCTTCAAAACGCTGTGTGCTATAAGCCTATTCAAATCGAAACTGAGACTTGATTCTGGACTGTACCATCTGTTCATTTATTTCAAATCTAATGTGCTGATGCAGAGAGCCTGAAGGACAAAAATGTCTAACTGGCCAAATATATATAGTGTGGAGTGTATAAAATACATTGAATGATACTTATCTATCAGTATACAATCTCTTGGACCTTTTCAAGTTTTCTATCTGCTGTACAGTTTTGACTAACAGTGAAGAGTTACACTTTTTCATAGTGTTCAACAGAACTAACTCTTATGAAATGATCATTTGTACACACATGTGAAACAACCCAAATTTACATGACCAAAATTAATATTTAGTCTTGGCACATTTGGCAACACTTGTAACCTGGACAGACAAACACTGCAAATATTCTCTTTTCTTCAGTATATCACTCTTCAAGTTCTGTTCTGCATGGACTTATGTCTGAACTGCGGCCACTTCAGCATTTCAAAATGGCGGTTTAAAAGCCATTCTCATGTAGCTGGTGAGGTTGGCTTACTGAAAAACACAGCAAACCTTCTCCCAAAATGCAGCTTTCTTGCAGACTGAGCCAAACTTTAATCCAGGATTTCTTAGTTTTTGCTGCATTCACACTGCTCTTTGTTTATCTTCACAAGTTCAAGAGTTCAAGGGCAGCTGCAAAGAGGGATTCTCACAGGATGATGGATGCTGCCACCACCATGTTTTATGATGAGAATTTGATTAGTGTGTTGGTCAGAAAGCAACAATTATGCCTCAGCAGACCATAGTGTGTTCTTCCCACCAGCCTTCTGGCAAAAACTAGCCTAGGTGTCAGAGAGGTGATGAATTTTTGGATGTCAGGTAAAACAGGTGACACAAAGCTGTGTTTACCATCATAGCCATGGAAGCTCAAGTTGTGAAGTCGCAAAAGAGCTATTTCAGGCAGCCCTTGTTCTCAAAGTAGAAGTCCCATTCATTTTTCCCAAGGAAAATGTTATGTGACTGACAGCTGACTGGCATGAACAGCTCCCAGTTCAATAATTACACCTTAAAATTAAGAAACAACATAAGAAAATGTCGAGTTACTTGATAAAAAGTCTAAAAAACAAATGTTTGTGCATAACAAATTTAGGGGAGATGTTAACTGACTCCCAAGATACATTTCTGCAATGAACATGCAGTAACGGAGGTGAAAATATTGCTGTGCAGTACTGACAGCAGGCTGGAGCTCAAGATTAGGCTGTTGATAAAAGGGTTTGTACAGTCTGCAGGTTAAATCAATTACCCTCTAACTTGTGCATCAGTTTTGGCAGAACTCAGCACCTGCGGCACTACATTTTGTTAACAACTAATATAACAACATTTTTCAGTTCTCTTATGTTCTGACTGCTGCTTCTTACTGGCTTCTTCTTCATAACAACACATGGGCGCTGCAGTGTTTGCAGCTGTCTCCCATGCCAAAATGACCAATAAAACATGACATCTAAGAAACATCACTGAAATAGTTTGGCCTAGTGGCCATAACATAAACACGAGTGTTACATTATCCAGGGGATCCTGTGTTGGGATATGTTTCTTTGTATTCATGGTGCAGGTTTTACCAGTAATCTGACTAATCAGCCGTCAAACTTTATATACAGTACATATGTGTATTTAACCACAAATCAGCCTTAACTACACACAGGTGATCTGCACTTAATGCATTATAGTCATGGCCAAAAATATTGGCGCCCCTGCATATCTTTCAGATAACACAACAAAATAAATGCCAGGTTGCAACAAAGGATTGTTTGAATGGTGGCTAAAGAACCTCGATCAACTTCCAAACAAATTCAAGCCGACCTGCAGGACCAGGGTGCAACAGTATGAGCTTGCACTATCCGTCGCCATCTGAATGACAAGGGACGCTACGATAGGAAACCCAGGGGGACCCACTGCTGACACACAGACACAGAAAAGCCTGTGCCTACAGTCAAACACAGTGGAGGTTCACTAGTGTTTTGGGGTTGCTTTACTGCTTCAGGCACTGGATGTCTTGACCGTGTGTTTGGCATTATGAAATATGAAGAGTACCAATGAATTCTGGGACACAATGTAGGGCCCAGTGTCAGAAAGTCTCCATCAAAGATCATGGGTCTTACAGCAGGACAATGACCCAAAGCAGAGAAATCTCAAACTGAAGCTGGGAGAAGAAACCCTTCAATCAGAGGCCTGGAGCAGTTGGCAAAAGAACAGTGGTCCAAAACTCCAGTAAAGAGGTGGAAGAAACTCACTGATGGTTACAGGAAGCGACTGATTTCAGTTAGTTTGTCCAAAGGGTGGGCTACCAAATATTAAGCTGAGGGTGTCAATAATTCTGTCCAGTCCATTTTTGGAGTTCTATGTGAAATAGATCAGATCTGGATTTTTTCTCTGCTTTTTTGTGTTGTTCCAGTGCAAACAATAGAAATAAACATGACAATACCAAAGTATTTCTGACTGCAACATTGTTCTGGAAGAAGTGGTGTGTTATCTGACAGAAATGCAGGGGTGCCAATGTTTTTGGCCATGACTGTAATGCAACTTCAACAAATGACTGACTGCACTGGGTATATCATACTACAGACTGAATACTTGTGAAATTGCCGATTTTGTGTTGTGTTGTGATGAGAGGATGTTTTGAAACCTTCATTGATCACAGTGGCCAACAATGATCTTCCTCCTGGTGCACATTACCACTACCAACTCCTAATATGTGAAGCTGGCTCGAAACTGAGGGACATCATACAGTCCTCACTGTGTGATCTGACTGACACATCAGGCGATTTGTGTTGCAGGCCTAGCTAGCAAATATGAGAGATTTAGAGTTTAAGAAATAATGTCCTAAAACTGAATTAAATTTGCCTAATTAGCATAACTGATAAAAAGTATTTAAAAATACAAAATTAAGCTCTATCCTATCCTAATGTGCACATCTGGCAGGTCTATCATAACTTACTGTTTAGCCCGTTAACGTTCCCCCTCCACCCACCCAGTGTCACAGACATGTTAACGGCAGGTGGCTGTGCACCAATGACCCACATGAATGGCCAAGAATTAGGCCACCAGAGCAGATGTTGACAAGTGGCTGAAACGTAACACCAGTAAGTCAGCTATTTGTCATCGCTGTAAATCTCCCCATCATGCTGTCACTCTAAACAGACATCAGCAGAGATTATGCTGCCTCATTATCCAACAACAGGGCGCCCAGACTTTGTTTGTTTTGTACATTGGGGAGATAACAAATATTTCAGTAAGTCTTCTGTCAGCACAGACCTACCGGAGATCACAGACTCATTCCAGCTATCCTGGTCGCTTAGGTATTCATCCAGACGCCAGTTCTCCTTGTTCTCATCAGACTCCTTCTTGCCGTCTAACTCCCCGGCAGGCTCCTTCTCTGTGCTGGCCGTGCGGGACAGACGGCCATCCAGCCGGCGCTTAGGGGATGGACGCGCTTCCTTTGTCTGGAAACTGAGATCACACATCACAGGGGAAGTCTGTCAGTTACAACAGGCTTTTACAAGTGCTTCAAAAGTTGATGAAAGAAGGAATAATTAACATTTGGGGAAGAGTTCACTGGATTTAAAGGAGTCCCCAAACATAGAAGTAATTAAAGGCCAATGGCTTTATATTATAGCTCAGGTTTCTTTTATTAACAACAGACTGACCTTCGTTCATCTTTGTGAGTTAACAGCACACTATAAATGACAAGATCCAATGGCTGCTTATATTCTCTGTATTGGGTAGTTTTCAAAATCAAGGAAGTTAAGATCAAATATAACTACATGCTATATGTTTCTTACTGTCCATATCTGGCTTGTGTTATATGCACAAATGTGGGTCTTGGAATTGCATTACCATATTCTGTAAAGAGGACCTTTTGCTAGTCTAACGGCTGGTATAGTATCATTTATCAACAGAAGTGATATTTGATTTGTTTTTCCTTTTGTACAAAGTGATAACATTTTCCAATAAAATGATTAAAAACTAAATCCATATTTTATGTCTTGCTCCCAACTCTGACCTGTCCTGTCTGTGTTTGGTGGCCAGGGCGCGGTGTAGTTCCTCAATAATGCAGCTGGGGGGTAGCTGTGGGTGTAGCACCCCGAGGTGAGGGGACCCGGTAGGTGTGGAGATCCTGCCTCTCAACAGGGAACCATGAGAGTCTCTGGGAAGCGTGAAGTTCCTGGGTAAGGTGGCTGGGGACTTCTTCACTGGAACTGCACTAGCACCTAGAGGACAACCATCAAAGTGAGACACTGCTGCAGAGCAGTGGGCCTTTACAGCGGGGTTCGTCCTGGTCACCTCACCATCTAGGCTGCCCAGTCTGGTCAGCAGTTTGACTGGCAGGGTGGGTGGAGGTGGGGTGCTGGCTCGTCTCTGAGGCTGGGCCACCGTCGCCTCCTGTTTCCCCTCGACAGCCTCCACCTTCCCCATCGGCTGCTCGTCGCTGGGGTCGCTTAGTGATGTGCTTTCATCCTCTCCATCTTCACTCTGACTGGGATCTCCCACTGTCTTTGAATCTTCAGTCATATCTTGCACTAAAATGAAATGACAAAAATGGCGATGAAAGGGTTTGGTTTGTTTGGGAAGTCTCTTTCTCCACCTAGTGGACAATGGCACTCAAGTCATTTCAAATTAAATATTTTCATGTAAACATTTAGTTGTTTAACCAACCAGAATCACCCAGATTATTATTAATAATTGGCCATTTTATCATCTAAAATCAAAAACAGGAACTATAATTTATATATATCAACATTTTAAATTGAGTAAAAATCCAAGGGTTTATTCCTAAAAAATAAGAGCACCATGTCTGCCATGAATGGTCAAGCATCAGTTGAAGTAAGGTGCATACCAAGAGCAACTTGCTAATGTATTTTTCAGTTTTTTTTTGTGCTTAAACACTTTGATAGCCACTTAAGATGGAAAACATGCTAGTGAAAGGTTGCCTGTTTACAAATCCAGTGATTGCAGAGCATGATTAGCATTGATGTGTTGCTCACCAGTTGTGTTTTTGTGCACCTGATGAATGTAAAACCAATATGCACTCTCTGTTTCCTGAGGGGAAATAGCTGCTCCTAAAATTTCTGGTGGTAAAACCAAAACAATGAGCTGAAAGGCATTAAATTGCTCTATATACCTGAGGTAAACTACAGCATCTCATGACAGTTGTTTATATATAAATATTAATTGGAGCAGTTTAAAAGTTAAACTAAAGCTTTAACTCTTACACCTAAAAAAACATCAAGAAGTGCTGTGCTTCATATATAAAAATACTGTAGCGATACTAGTATCTGTTCTGAATGTTTTCTCTCAGACCACAGCATTGCACTCTACCTGTTGAGGTTTCTAAATCACTACCCAGCTCTTCATTGGTGCTGGCCAGAGGTGCTACAGGCTCCTCGTCTCTGTCCTCATCATCAGAATGAGTGGGGGTGTCTGGGTCTTCACTGTTACCCCCACATGCAAGATCTGACTCTGTGCACAGCATTCACAGAGGGACAGGACAGGAATGACTTTGTGTGGGCATCATGCAGATAAACAAATGAACTCTATTCAGCCTGGAGTCGTGTGTGTGTGTGTGTGCATGGGTGTTTATTTTTCACCTGTCTCCATCTCCCCAGGGTTCCTCCTGACCAGGTCACCTCTCTTCTGTCGTACAGCTGCCTTCTTCTCCACCGCTAAACAACACAAACATTTATGAGCCTGGTCCACTGACTGCATGGAAAAACGAAAACACATGGAACTATTTGCAAATACAGCCGCTATGTTCCTATTTGCAGAGTGATTACCAAATCGTCCACTGACAGAAGCACACGTCTTACATCACTCACTTGCAGAGGGCTTCAGCTTCTCGTTTTTCTTTTTCCTCCATTTCCAGGGCTTGAAGATGCGTCCCAGGCTGGCCAGCTTGCTGTTGTGACGGACAGGAGGTGTACGAACCCCTGAGACCATGCAACCTGAATGCAGTGCCCTCTGCTGGTCCATCGCATCTACAACATAAACAAAAAACTGCCTTAAAAGGTGATCCCATCAGTCAGTGCTGGTGAGGACTAAAGGCATTTCTTAAGTAACTCCTAACACTGGCACCCCATCATCATGAGTGAGTAACAAATGTGGGTCACTGGTTTTAAATGCCTTATTGATTCCAGCCTAATTTCTGAGGAGAAGCAAGCGGTCGTGGGGGGAGGACAGAGATTCGCATTGTTTGTGTGTGACTCACATGGTTTCGAGGCAGCCAGACCTTCCTGGCCCCAAAACATGCAGACAATGGAACGCTTTTAAAAGACATCTTGAAAGACACACAGAGGATAAATGAAATCAGCTTCAGCACAAATGCCCTTTCTAATGTCAGTGCTGACATCTGCAGCCTGCAATCCCTACTGATTTTAGACTATTTTAGGCTGCATACCTAACATGCATAGGAGTCTACTGCACAGTCTGATATCAAAAAGTAGTGTCAGAATTGGACAAGCCTTACATTCTGCTGCTGACAGACTGGTAGTTTTTATAGCATTCAGTTGTGTCTCCATGTCTTGGTGGTGTATTTTTGTTGTCTTTTTTTGTCCAGTGTCTATTATTGACTTTGGGTACTGAGAAGAATTTATTTCAGTGTTTTGGTAAGTCTGCTTTTATGACAAAGGTGTGTTGTAGTTAAACCTTTAGTGTCTTCACATAATGCTTGTCATACTTAATTATTTGCACCTACAAATAACCTAAATTTCATACGTTTTGTATTATCTATATTATATTCTGAATGTCTATAAATCTAGGGCAAAAATTTGCAATTTTTGATTAATGGTTTTTCAATTAGATAGTTTTTGTGCAGTAGCATCCATAGGTGGAGGGACACCTTCAGGCTGCCAATCAAAGGTGTCAAATCAAGTGAAATATAACCCTATTTATATCGTCAAATCACTTTTTAAAACAAATTTACCAAAAAAATGGCCACTTGTACACACATCAGCGTGATAACATCTACCAAAAAGGACAGAAAACATCTCTGGAAAAAATGTAACTGATTTGTACCTTGAGTTTCCCATTGACTAACATGGAGGAGGTGCGATTTATGAGCAATAACACTATAGGGTGACTTGTGGTGGCTTCATTTGGGAACTGTCAGCATTGTTTACACAGTCAGTGGACATAAAAGATGACACATATTCACATTTTACAAATTAATTTTCTAGCATTTTATGTCAGTCAACTATGGAAGCCCATTCCCGCCAGTTACTCCGACTTAGCTAAGTCGAAATTCTTACATAGCTAAGTCAAAATTCCGACATAGCTAACTAGAAATAATGGCTTAAGTAAATCTAAGTAGAAATTCTAACTTAGCTATGTCAGAATTTCGACTTAGCTATGTCGGAATTCCGACTTAGATATGTCGAAATTTCTACTTAGCTAAGTAGAAATAACGACTTAGAGCATTTTATTTCTCATTTAACTGGCGGGAATGGGCTTCCATAGTCAACTAACTCATTTGTTAAATAATCAATTTAACACCTAAATATTTTAGCACTACATTAAATTACTCAACTAAGAGACAATAACCCAGCATTCACTTTAAAGCCAATTAACTGTGGAAACAATTAACAATGACTAACAGATTTTGGCCACTTAGGGGCGTCAGAAACAAACACCTTTTACAGTGATACAGTGAACTTATTAGCAAACAGCTTCTTATTTACACATAACGGTTAAGAAGCAACATTAGCATTCATTTAGAGCCATGTTTCTTGTCACCTGGAGAATGGAAGGCCAACATCCACTCTTTTTCAGCTCTGTTTTTGGTCTCTACCAAGTCCTGAGGGAAATATCAGGCTTCTTAGCTGCTAAATGCTGCACTGTGTTCACCAGCTAGTCTTTAATTGGGTCTGTCTGCCATTTGGTGCTGGCCGAGGTGAGCTTTTACCATGAAAACATCTGCCTGATGCTGGCAAAGTCAATACTATAAGAACAGCGAGGGTGAACCAAAACAGTGAAGTTGCCGGCCGGACAGCTAAATAAAGTGCTGAAACTATAAAACATTATCTTTAGTTACAATCCTTTGGTGTATGTAAAGCTTCAACAATGAGGATCGCAACAAATGATTTTCAATATTAATTTTATTTTTTTCTTGACTAATCGGTTAACTGTTTTGTGAGAAAGGTGTGAGAGTAGTGACAAAAACCCACCACAGTTTCCCACAGCAAAAGGTGACATTCAATTTAATATGATAAAAGACAGAAATACACATGCAAGAAGCTGGACCACAATAAGTATGTTTTCCTTGAACACCAACTCAAGCAATTAACTTTTTGTGTGAGCTTTGATTTCTCTTCAAGATGGACAGTCAGTGGCTATTCCTCTTAGCCGGCACTCTGACTTCTTAAAGCACCCATTAAGCCTGCAGGCTGAGCTGTAGAGGAGGGATCACAGCAACAAAGATCAGACAGAGAAGCACAGCTGAGCTGACTTCAGTTACTTATGCTACACCAAGTGGCAGAGAGAGGGAGATAACGGTTCCTTGGAGAAAGGACTGAAATAGGCCCTCCTACACAGTCTGACTCCAACAACAAGCTGACACCTCAGGGAGCCTCCAGCTGAGCCGTGGGCTGTGCAGGCATCGCTGTGTGAACCCTTTCATTTTCTGTCAGCAGTGTCTAAATCCACAACATCTGTTCATTTATCCCTTAAAAAAGAATTAGATACATTTACATTACTGGCCCCAGTCACATATTAGGAAGACAAATGTATTGTGATTTATAAGGCCATGTTTCACAGGTGAGGATGGATATGGCAGGAACTTTATGGTGCTGCCATGTGGAAGGTGGCCAAGTTTCATAGCAGCTCAAGCAAAAGCACAACATGTTCACAATGTTACATTGAAAATAAGGTCAAAAATCCAACAGACTGTAGAAAAACAGTCTCCAGTCTGACAAACTGAAGCAGGTAGAAGGCAGGCATGTCATCTGAGCTTTCAAATAGGTGCTATACAGGATTTGCACTAATACATTCCATGTCAGCAGTTGCTCAAAATTTCACAAGGAGGCAAGGAGGCTTTTTATTAAAGGTGCAACTAATTATGATCAACTAGTCTGCCAATTTTCTTGATTAATCGCTTTGTCTGTAATATAACAATGAAAATGGGGAAAACGTGTTTACTATACTTTCTTAAAGCCCAAGGTGGCATCTCAAATGTCTGTCTGCCTAACCAGCAGTCCAAACCCAAAGGGTATTTAATTTACTAGCGCCCAAGAATAAGAAAAGCAACAAATCTTCAACCTGGAATTTGAAAAACATTTTATAGAAGTGAGCAATCTAGAGTCCGACAGCTGGGTCAATCTTTTTACTGTATTAACTAATGTAACTGAACAGTCCTGCGACTCATGCACAAGAGATAACAAACATACAAGGCCAATCATAATTGAGCTTATTGATCCATGACAAAACAGCGCATGGCACTTCAGCTTTTTCACCTACACCCTCAGCTGACCACCACCAACAAGAAGCTGGTCAGTCGCCCAAGCCTTCTTGTGTGCCTGCACAGGATGCAGCAGGGAATTCAGGTCAAGCATGTAGTAACAGTAACAGCACACCCAGGATAAGGCTGCCGTTGCCATGGTTACCACGCTGGATGTTGGAGAAAGGACCCTGGGGGGCAGAGAATCGCCATGGCATGAGGAATAAGGAGCTGCTGGGTGGATGGGAAGGCTGTTGCCACACAGACAGACGCAGAGCTGCAGCCAATCATGGACCAGCATGTAGCCATGCATAATGGAAGTCAGGGAGTCGCATTTGTTATTTAAAGTTATTGAAATATTTAACCAAAAGGTTAGATGTTTGGATGCACTATAACATATTTTCTGCAGACCCAGAGAAAAGAATCACGTTTTTTCAAGCAGGAAAAATGAAGCTAATGGTCAAAGTCACATAGCAGAGAGTGTACTGTCACCTAAAGCAGAGAACTGCTGCTGAGGATGCCAAACACAGGGCGCCTGGAAATGTCACCACATCCTCATCACTCAATCACCTGCAACTGATGTGTAGTGCTCATGTTTCTTACATGAAATAAAAAGCACGTTTACATCAATAGGGAAAGCAATCCATTAGATAATTACATAATGTCTATGATAAAAGTCCCCAAAGGAATATTATAGCTTTATCACAATAACGATATCTCACTGGAAACATATCCAAGTGCTCTTCTCTACATATCCGCTGCTAAAAGCCACAACTCACTGTGGGAATATTATAGTGATCTCATAAGGTGGAAAAAAGCACCACTAAAGTACCACATGACCATAAACCCAAACACTACAAGCCCCAATACGCACATTCACATGAGCAAGATTGTGTTTCGAGTGCTTCGCCGCAAACTGACCATACATTAGCCCGATCCTGAGGCAAACGCAAATGTTTCCAAACACTTACATATCACAAGACAGACTGCTTCCCAGTCCTCCCCCGGCACTCGGTGTTCACATCATGTTCCCACAGCCTGGTGCGTCGCAGCCGCTGCGTTTACCAGGAAATTAACAGACGGATGAATATCCTGTGTAATAAAACTCGGTTCAAAACATGCGAAATGCTAGTTTAAGGACAGGGTGAACAGAAACTTTGTGTGAACGAGCGGGTTACATCTTCAGCTAGCTGCTACGGTGTTGATGTGCCATGTGCACCCCGCCCCTCCGGACGGGAGGAGGGGGACGAATGAACGGACACACGCTCAACGTCTCCTCCAAATGATAGTACATCTGCCTTCAGCGGGATACAAGTCACCCACCCCGTGATTGACAGTTGATTATCTGTATTAACAGACAGAGGACAGTATAAATGGCCTATTATCTACACAAAGCTGCTCATTGCTTTAGCAAGTTGCAATTAGACACACGTAAAGCCAGAAGCAAAATTAGTCTGAAACAACAGCCTGCAACAGTCTATATCTCAGCCTCCATGAACAATTAGAGAATATGACTCTATGGTGTGAGCTACTTTAGAGAAACACCTC